AACTTCACCATGCTTGAGCTTTTTCTGAACAACCTTATGTCTTGATCCAGCACGATTATTTCTCATTGTTCCAGTAAGATACGTGTCCTGTTTCAACAGACGTTTTGCTAGAGAAATACTAGTGAAGAAATTGTCAGCCACCACAGTTCGATAACATCTCTCAAGGCCATTCAATAGATTCACTACGACTGCTTCAGCATGCCCGAGACCTGCCAGAGGATCTTGCTGACCAGTATAGATCATAAAATTCCAGGTGTATCCATTAGTAGCTGCTAGCTTGTATATCTTCACGCCATACTTGTGCGCTTTTCCAAAGAATGTATTGTTTGAACAAAAGTCTACCTCGCCATGGAACCATACGTTCGTCGATGCTAATAACTGAGCCAGGCATATAGACTGATGAAAACCTCTCTTTGAGTAAATCTAGGAGTGGTCTCAACTTGTACAGCCTGTCTTGGTCCGAATTGTTGTTATTGTTGTTCATAAATGCCAAAATTTAAGGAGTAATTCAAACCTCTCTCTCGACATAGCAGTACGTATGATCTCTAATCCGTACAATTGACTACTGCTCCAGTAGTATTTCAGTTTCGGCATTTGTACCAATCCCATCTCGATAATGATTCCAAAGAACTTCAGCATCTCTTCATTGGTGGTTGGTTTCCATTGACGAAATTTTGACCGTCTACTAATCTCATGAGTTTGCAAATATTGTTCCGCATAGCGATTAGTTTCACGAACCATCAGGTCAATAATTTCGTCCGTAACGAAATGTCGATAGCAATCGATAGGGTCGATTGTATTGTTTCCTGAAGTGGAAGTTACTTCTTCGACGAGGCCATGGTCTTCCACAAATTCATCATCCGATTCTGGTTTGATTTCATTCCAGACGTTTGAATCGACCTCGTCATCTGTCACTTCTTCGTCAGAGCTTTCGGATTCGAGATGAATGCTATCGAAATCATCATCCAAAGAACTCACTTCACTTCGTGAGTTAATGCTTTCTTCTGAATCGGTTTCTTCGAACGACATGTGTACTATTCCCAAAATTCACTCGTCTTTATATAGTGAAGCGGCAGACGGATAAGAATGATAGAGAAAAGCCTGAAATTTTCCTCTAGCTTCTCGCATGTGTTATATATAACATGAAAAAGAACGAAAAACTGACTCAAACAATTCTAGTTATTCGCAAAAAATGATTCATTATGTGATAATACAAGAAAGAGAACGATCAATAATCAGTAGAAGATAACGAAAGAGTCATTAAGTGCATTTATTAGAAGTGAACTATTCATGAAAATGGCATCTTGAAGAAATTTTATAAGAAAACTGAATCGTGCCCAATGTGTTAACAAAATCTATTTTTCGCGATTGACAGGCCTGCTTAAGGGTACTCGATTCACTCATGGAACGTCTCTTAAATACCGCGTTTATTCCGCGAAAATTGAACAAACTATCCAAGATTCTGTCCAGGTCATCCAAATTTTGATGACCTAGCCACAACTGCCCCATGCCATTCTACAAACACACATAGATAGTGTCTTTTTCAGTTTCTAATAGAAATGGCCGAAAAAATGTCAAAAACATATAGTATAATTTTCGTTCTTTTTAACCACTTTAAACAGACTATATGTACAGACAATATTTTCATACTGTTGTATTCCGTCTATGATGCTTTTCTTTCTTTTCGTTCGAAATTCCGCTTGACCTTGAAATTTTGCGCTGGACTGTACTTATGCATATGTATAACTATATCTATCTATATATGTATTTTTCTTTGTATATATATATGATGTATGAGCATATATGACAGAAGTAATAGTGTTGTCAACGAAAATTTGTGACATTTAAAAAATGTTAACATTCGAAAGTTTACCTAACGAGTTATATGACTACGTATTCGTCTATCTCAAATCGAATGATATCCTGGCCTCATTTATGAACTTGAACCAACGTTTTACAGAAATCGTTTACAATCAGCTTTGTCGAAAGATTGATGTATCTTTATTAGGATCTGATTATCTTCATATCCTTAGCCACATCCGGTCAACTATACACCGCATCAAATTGAATGCAAAGCAGTTAGATACGGTCTTTCCGATTAGTACAGTATAGCCTAATCTTCGTACA